AGAAATGCCCTTCTTCAGAATTGTACACCGGGTTTAGACCAGCGTGAATGTATAAAGCATTGTGTGGCAACAATGATGACATTAAAGAGAACAAAAATACGTACGTGTGTATCATTTTTCTTACAAATTACTATTCGTTCTGTTTTTGTCTCTGGTGTATGCATGTCACTGAAAGTAAGATTGAAACGGTGGTATGAATAACCGTAACCGTATACTCTAAAAAATAGTGTTGGTATATAAACAAAAGTAGAATACAAATGAATATAAACTGGGAGATTAGATAGCGTTAAACTTTTATAGTGGTATGCACATTCTCTTTGATTATTAACCGGTTTTCTACCAAAAAGGGAGTGTGCATACTTTGTGAAGAAACTAACTGAAGCAGGTAAAGAGTAAAGGATTCCTTTGTACTAATTGTAAAGCGTGAGCGTCCAGTGGAAATCGTCACTCGACAAACGTGTGAAAAACACAAAACGAAAGCTTCCAGTGTTCCCCTGAAAATCAATGACAAAACCATCAAGATGATTCCAACTGAAATTCTTACCCCAAGTAAGGATCTTAAAATTATCTGAAATAATCTAAACTTCGTAGATGGCAGCACGCATATAAAAAACAAAAGTAGTGTATAAATTTAAGTGAAGGGATTGTCTTATTGTCAGCATCAATCATCTTCCAAACGGGGAAACGTATACAGATGTAAAAGCGTAAAAAAAAAAAACTGACGGTGAGATGACTGATCAAGCGAAAATATTCGATTCGTTACCGATCATGAGAAGCGCAACAGCGATGTGATCGCGGCCAGAAGCCCTGAGGGCCCCCAGCAGAGCACCAGCACCCGCGCACACCAGGCCCACCACGCCGACACCCAGTATGGACCAACGCACAGGAGGGGAACCGAGGCCGCAACACTGCTTCGGTACTGCGTCCCTGCAAGACAAGAACCAACCGTTGGAATGACCCACTGACACGTACTCCTGGTAAGTTGGCAAGTCGCTCGACACGCTTGTCGATCCTCTACTATGCTCGACTTCAGGTGTGATTTCCTATAAGCGTCAGACGTACCCACACGGTATACAATGGAGAAGCATATCCTTGTTTTTCTAAACGTGATTCTTTTCAATTTTTTATACATCGTACCGACAGTGATTGACTCTTGTATATTTTAATCTTGAAAATATTGTAATCTCTATATTATATTAATATCTGTGTCAATCGATTAATGTCTCTGATATCTCTATATATCTAACATATCTCTATTAATATATAAGCATAATCTGGAAAATTTCTGACAAATTTCTAGTTTAGCGATTTTCACCAAT